GATTTCAAACCAACACTGATCAAGAGAGACAAAGAAGGACACTACATCCTTGTAAAGTGAACAATCCAAGAGGAAGAGATGACTATCATAACAATCTATGCACCAAACACTAGTGCGCCCAACTATATAAAACAAATACTAACAGACACGAAAAATCATTTAAGCACTAATACAGTAGTAGTGGGGGACCTCAATACCCCACGGTCACAAATAGATGGATTAACTAGACTAAAAACAAGCAATGAAATACTAGAACTCAATCAAACTCTTGAACAAATGAACTTAACAGATGTTTACAGAGTGTTCCACCCCAAAAAATCAGAATACACATTCTCTAGAGCTGCACAAGGGTCATTCTCCACAATAGACCACACACTCACTCATAAAACATATTTAGGTAAGTGCAAAGGAATTGAAGTTATCCCCTGTATATTATCAGATGATAGTGCTATGAAACTGGAGATCAATAGCAAAAGAAACTGCAAAAATTTCATAATCACGTGGAAATTGAACACCACACTTCTGAATAACCAATGGGTCACAGAGGAAATTAAAGAAGAAATCAGACAAAAAAAATTAAAAAAAAGAAATTAGACAGTTCCTTCAATTAAATGACAATGACAATGCAACATATCGGAATCTATGGGACACAATGAAAGCAGTCTTGTGAGTTAAATTCATAGCCCTGCATACTCATATTAGGAAAACTGAGCAAGTCCAATTACACAACCTGATGCTAAAACTCAAGCTTCTAGAAAAAGAAGAGCAGGACAAACCCAAACTCATACAACAGAGAAAATTATAAAGATCAGGGCAGAAATCAATGCAATGGAGACTAAGAAAACAAAAAAAAAAAAATCAATGAAGCCAAGAATTGGTTTTTTGAAAGAATAAACAAAATCAACAAACCCTTGGGCAATCAGAAAAAGGAAAAAATGGCCCAGATCCATGAAATTAGGAATGAAAAGGACGAAATTAAAACAGATCCAGCAGAAATCCAGAGGATCACCAATATCTACTTCCAGAACCTATACGCCAATAAGATGGACAACACAGAAGAATTAGACAGATTCCTAGACATGTATGAATTACCAAAGTTGAATGAAGAAGACCTAAAAATTCTAAACAACTCAATATCAATGAAATTGAAAACGTAATTAAAAACTTATCAACTAAGAAAAGCCCAGGTCCTGATGGATTCACTGCTGAATTCTACAAGACATTTAGACAGGAACTGCTGCCACTACTGTTTAAACTCTTCAATGAAATTGAAAGGGAAGCAATACTCCCAAATTCATTCCTGGAAGCAA